AGGCTTGCCCAGCATCGCACGCACTGTGGCCAGCAGGAGGGGCGGGCACGGACGGGCCCAAGAGCTCCGTCTTCTGCTGCAGTGCTCTCGGGACTCCTGCAGGCTTGCCTAAACACTGCAGGGGTCGTGGCCAGCAAGAGGGGCGGGCACGTGCCTGAGAGCACCGTCTTCTGCTGGAGAGCCTCCAGGAGGCCAGCCGAGGCCCTGCCCGGATCCCGGGGGCGTGCAATCCCCTCTCTCTTCTCGAACTTCTGAACGGTCCCCCTGATCTGACCGACCGACTTGAAACTGTGGGGAGCTTGGAATTCTTGTGATGTATTGGATCCCGAATGTCTAGTATGAGCGAAACATCTTTGGTTCCGCGCAGAGGGCCGCCACCTGAACGCCCTGGGTCTGGGCCCTAGCGCGGTGAGTCAAATCCTGGATCGGGTCGGGGCACTAGGTCGCAGCCTCCTTTCGCTGCCGCATTCCAGTCCAAACATCAGCGAGAGCATCCACCGGGGACGGCTGTCCAAGTGGAACAGTGCATCTGTCTGGCTTGGTGCTGGCCTTGGGGGGCACCCAGCCGATCGGGCTTTTCGCGTACTGGTGCGCTTGCCCCGGGCCGTCGACGACTGCTGCAGTCGCCCAGGCGCGCCGCTGCATTCCCCTGCCAGCCGAGAACTGACGCGCAGAGGCAAGGGCAAAGTGATCGACTGCAAATATACCACGGCTCCAGCTGCGACAAACCGGCAAAGGACACGGTGCTGAACGCTGAGGCTCATTGCTGTCAAGCTGGGTCTGGACGAAGCTGATTGGGCCCTCTTTCAAGCCCTTTCACGATGCTTGGGGACTCCGACTCTCCCCATCGGAGGCCCCTGGGCATGTAGGCCAGCCCCCCCTAGAGGTTTCGAGACTTGCCTCCAACCGCGACTCCTGGCACTCCCAATCGGAAACTTGCCCCCCAGAGGTACGCACAGCAGAAAGCTTAATAATCTCAGGCTCCGATGCGATACCAAATATCTGGAGTCATCCAGCACCTCCTGATGTATGACTGACTCCTCCAGATCACCCTCTAAACACCTGTAGCAATCACCCGAAGAATCCCCATCGCAAGCAGCACACGCAGATTCGAGAAGGCTACCGTGACCAGCAGGCTCTGGCATGGGACCAATATTTGGCTCCAAAGACAAAGAGCGGGTCGCGCGCAAGACCTCGACCAGCTCGTTAAGCGGGCCGCCCGTAGATATTGAACGACGACAGGCCAGTGCGACTTGACGGAAGCCTCCCTGCTGATCTGACAAGATTGCGCACGTGCGGCGAGATTTGCAGGCATTTCAAGGTAGTCGATCGTCTTCCAACATTTGGCGGTGGACTTGCAGGTACAGGAGGGGTGGTTTCACGATTTGGTCCCGAGGCGACTTGGCCGCCCAATTTCATCTAGCTTCTCAGGCGGGACACTCCAGTTCCCTCCCAGAGTAAAGGGGAGCCCCCAGGTGTGCAACCGTTCTCCCACCCGACTGAGCATTTGCATGCTCACATGTATTAGAGGATCGCTATGAGGGAGGTCGGGAGAGCCCAAGACAAAGCTGACAGAAACGTACGAGTTCGCCCAGCGGAGTTGCTGCCGATGGCCGCGTGGCAACCCACGCACCGACGTGGAGGGCGTCCTATCCCCACGTGGGATCTGCACAACACTGCGACCACTGCGACGCTTCCTGAGAGGCCTGCAGTCTCGGTGACCTCCGACGGGCCAATGCTAATGTTCCAAATTCTGTGCTGAGCTTCAAAGTTGGTTCGATCACAATGATTAGTTAAAATCTACTGAAGCACGAACACGTGGCTCTGAGCCTCACCATCCACGCAACGTTTTGCAGACCCCCAGGACGTAGTGCATGTTTCAATCTCGAAACAGTTACGAGGACCCTCCCCAGCCCGAGACCGTTGCCGCTTCGCGCTCTGCCCCTGCTGGGCCTGGCGCCGCTGACGGCGACGCTGAACGCTGAGGCTCTGTACCAGGCCAGGCACTGGGTCAGTGGCCGGATCCCCGCCTCCCACGAGTTCGAAGGGGGGGGGGATCGGGGCTCCCGAGCGGAGTGAACCCCTAGAATTCGGTCGGGCTTGTCCCCCTGCAGGCGGATCTTGGGTGAAAAATGAAAAAATACAAAACATAAATTTAAAACTTGGCCAAACATCACCAAGCAAATCGTCCCCTGACGATTTGTTTGTTCAGACCTCTGGGGGTCGACGGTGTGAAAACACATGACGTCGGGGGTCTGGGCTCGCCCATCCCGCGGCCTCTGCCCATGGCCGCTGCAGCACGGGCGCGGACGTCGGGGGGGCTGAGAGCCCTCCTCAGGGAGTCCCTTGGCATCGCTCGGAGGTGTGCAGCTTGTCTCGGCGAGGACCGTCGAGCAGCGTCTTGGATCACCGACCGAAGAAGACACTTGTTTGGGGTCGCGAGCGCAAGCGGTACAGCCGCGCGCCGACAGAGCGAAGCAATAATGCAACGGCCTGAATCACGCACCAAGCGCACAGGAGCGAACTACGCTGCGGCCTGCTCCGTCTTGGCCGTGCGGTCGGCGACCTCTTTCCTGTCCCCTTCCGCGACGTCGTATGCAGCGAGCTGCTTGAATAAGGAACACTTACAGTACTCTTCGAAAGGGGCTCGGTTCTTCCTCAGGCTTGCATGCGTTATTTATCGCTCCCTATGCGTTATATATATATATATATATATATATATATATATATTAGATCTTGCTCCTCATGCGTTACTCCTTGAGAAAAGGGGCTTCGTTTCCTATGGATTGTTCCTTAGGTCAGGCCGATGACTGTATCTCCCCGTGGCCGAAGTCATCGCAGTGGCTGACGTCCAGGAAGTCGGCGACGCCCTGGAGCAGCGGGCTGACCGAGACCTTCGGCCCTTGGTCGGCGGGCTTCCCCGCCGAGGGGTACAGCGGAAGCCCATGCCCAGGAACATCCTGCTTGCTTCCAGGGTGCACTGGATTTCTTGGGTTTCGATGGTCTTGCTATGGAGAGCGTAACGTGCCCACACCAAAAGTCAATGGACGTCCTGGGGTCTCAGGGTTGGGTTTCTTGTGGAGGGTTTCTGGTGGTCGAGCTCCTGTCGTACATCTGACAGAGGTGCTGCTTGTACTCATCATATGCTTCGTCCAGCTGGTTTTGCACGTCCTTGACATCCTGCTGTTGGTGGGTGAGGGCGTGCTCCCAGGTGGCCAGCGTGGCGAGCTCCCTCTTCACTTTTTGATCTAAGTTCTGCACCGTTGGTGAGCTCTGTGAGCTCGCACTTGGACAGGTGGGTCTTTGGGATCGATCACATAACTAACTCTTCTTGTGGGCAAGGATATGCGGGCACTGCTTCGTGACCGCCATGTCCCCAGACTTGCAACCCAATTCCACCAATAGCTCCAGTTCGGTGACCGACAGCTCGAGCCCAGGAAAACGTATACTCCCAGGAACATCTTGGAACATATGGGAAGCGGCGGGGGAGACGACAATCCAGAACATACGTAAAAGTACCAGGAATCTGAGGAATTGTGTCTATTCATGTCCTTGGGGGCCGGAGGTCGACAGCAGGCTGCAGGCTGAGACCATCACCTGGTTCGTCGTCTTGCGCCTTGGGGCAGCATCCCATGAGGCGCTGCAGTGGACGCAGCGCCACAGAGGAGGAAAAGGTACCGATACTGCTACTCTCTGCCCGTTTTCCCCTTTTTCGCCCTCCTGGGAGGCCCTCGTCGCCACCGCTGGAGTCGCCCCGAAATTCCTGGTCAGAGCGCACCCCCAGGAGAGGTCCGGGGAGTTGCGGTGTCGGCACCTTATATGGTTTCCCAGAATGCCGCTTGCACATCGGCTTCCTCTCGTAGCCATTCTGCCGACCTCACACTGCCACTTCCTGGCTGGTGGGCAGGATCCCTCACTCCTCTTCGGATGCAACTCCTGGGAGGTCAAATTCTGATTTAGCCCTGGTCCGAAATCCGGCTGAATCCGGCTTTATCCGGCTTAATCCCGCTTAACTCGGCTTAATCCTTAATACCGCTGAATCCCGCGTGATCCGGCTTCGTCCTGCTCAGTCCGAGGCCCACTCCCGCGTAACAGCTCCAACATGGGGCTTGAGCCTCCTGAATCTTTCCGAGGAAAAGCTCGCAGCGGTTGCCTCCTGACTCCTCTGCCTCTGTCACGTGACGCTCTGCTGGCGCCCTGGCTCCGCCTGCCCGCGGCCCGCCGCGAGCGCGGGCAGGGAAGCGGAGCGCGGGTGCACAGAGCAGCCCGGCGGCGGCCTGTCTGCCACACCAGCTCTGCGCTGGCTGCGCGGCGCTCGAGCCAGGTGGCCTGAGCCAAGTGGCTACGGACCTCCTCCTCCTCCTCCTTTTCCTCCTCCTCCTCCTCGTTCCACTCCTCCTCCTCCTCCTCCGCCTCCTCCTCCTCCTCCTCCTCCGTCCACTACTCCTCCTCCTCCTCCCCACGCCTTGTCCTCCTCTGTCCCCCTCCCCCTTGCGCTTCCCGTTCCCCCCTCTCCCGCCCCTCCTCGGGAGGCCATTGGCGCCCTGCCCCTCCTGCAGTTCGCCCTCGGGGACAGCGCCGTCTTCGACGTCCGGCCGGAGCACTACGTGGGAGTGGCCACCACTGGCCCCGACGGCTGCAGGTACAACTTGCAGGGCGTGGGCGACACGAGCACGCGCACCGTCGTGCTCGGCGTGCCTTTCCTGCTGGACCGCGACGTGGCGTTCGACCAGGCCGGGCCCCTCGCAGGGCCTCGGGCGTCGCCCGGGATGCCAGACATCCGGCGCCCTGAACAAGTCGGGGCGGCGTTTTCTTTATCTTGTTCTAGTTTTCGGCCACGGGCCTCGGGGCCGTCGACAAGAACGACTCCAGAGGAAAACTTGGAACCTGGGAGGTGGCCGAGAGGTCGGGGGCCCGCGCGCCTCGCAGAAGTCGAGGCGGCGGACGCCTGCCGCGGGAGCGCCGCCTGCACCCAGACGTCTGGCAGCCACACTGTCGTCGCGAGGCGTGCCCGGCGCCCCGAGAACCAGCCCTGGAGGAGGAGGAGGAGGAGGAGGAGGAGGAGGAGGAGGAGGAGGAGGAGGAGGAGGAGGAGGAGGAGGAGGAGGAGGAGGAGGAGGAGGAGGAGGAGGGAGGAGGGAGGAGGAGGAGGAGGAGGAGGGAGGAGGGAGGAGGAGGAGGGGAGGGAGGAGGGAGGAGGGGGGAGGGAGGAAAACCGCTGCCCCGGGGGCCGGCTTCTCCTCCCGAGCAGCTCTTGTGGACGGGCCCGGGGCCGGGCGAGGGCCCCCAGAGGCCGACGGCGGCCAGGCACCCTCGGGGGTGGACAGAGACCTCCCGCCCTGACTTTTCTTTTTTTGGGTTTGCGGGTCGAGAGCGGGCCTCTTCCGGTTAAGGGCTACAGGCGGGGCGCGCAAAGCACTAATTGGGGAGACAGGGCGCGGGCGGGCGGGGCCTCAGGCGGCCCGAGGGTGCAGGGCGCAGGCGGCGCCGAAGAGCTTGCACAGGAAAAGGTACGCCTTGACAGGTAGGCGAAGTGCAAACCTCCCACCCTGACACGTCGATCAGGGGATGGTCCGTCTTCGGCTCTCGAGGGGGCGCCGCGGCCGTCGTTTTCCGGGCCTGCGCCCGCCAGGTTTCGGCCCGAGGTCGTTTTCACTATAGACCACGTTTCACTCCAGGGGGTCCTGTCCAATCCCCGAGTCCTGCCGCTCCGTCTTTGTCCGCGGGCGCCGGATCTCTGGGTATGGGGTTCTATAGCGATGGTCTGCGTCTTTTCGGCGCCAGGGGCGCTCTCCATCCGCCCCGCGCCTCGTCGATAGGGCGTTCCCGGGGAGGCCAGGAGATCGCCCCGGGCGGCCGCCTGTGAGGTGCCGAAGGGGGCGGCCCGGGGACGTCGGGCCAGAGGCGCCCTTCGGCCCAGGGAGTTCGCCCCGCTTCCCAGGCGCTGCGAAAAGAATTGTTAGGCAGCGGCCGCAGGAGGAAGAGGAGGAGGAGGAGGAGGAGGAGGAGGAGGAGGAGGAGGAGGAGGAGGAGGAGGAGGAGGAGGAGGAGGAGGAGAGGAGGAGGCGGAGAGAGGAGGAAGAGGAGGAGGAGAAGGAGGAGCAGGAGGAGGAGGAGAACGAGAGAAGGAGGAGGAGGGCCGCAGGCGAGCGCGCCAGCGGCGAGTCCAGTCGAAGCGGGGCACGCAACGACGACTTAACCTCAAGCGACGCTGCAAAAAGGATCGGAGCGGCGGGTCTTCCGCCGTGCTCGGCTCCGCGGGGGCCCTCGCTGGGCCTCGCTGGGCCGTCCAGAAGAGGACTCGGGACGAGAAGCCAGCCTCGGGGAAGTGGTGGAGACCTCCATGGCCCACGAAGCGAGCAAGCTCGGATGGCGGGAGAGCGCGGCGAGGAGCCCGCGGGGGCCCCCGCGAGCCCAGCGGGGGGTGCTCCCGGGAGGCCGCGGGGACCTCCCCGGAGGTCCGAGGGGCACCGTGCAGCCAAGGCGCCGACGTGGGGACCGCTCTGGGCCCAGGACGGGCTCCGGTCTTCGCGGGCCGTGCCTTGGACCCAGGTGTAAGTCGGGCGCGTCCCTCTACAGGAGGGATGTTACAGAATAGTTCAAACATAGTTGTGGGACGATGTTTTTGGACTATTGTTGACCATTTGGGAATATTGTTCGACCATTTCTTATTTTTCGTCCACACTTCCCCTGTAGGAGGGCACACCCGACCTAAACCTGGGTCGGGCAACACCTTCGTGGCTGAGGCTCGCCGTGGCCGGTGGCGCCCCCTGGTTCCTTATCTTCCGGTTTTTCTCGTGGGTTTCCTCTGGTCTTCCTCTGGTTTCCTCTGGTTTTCCTCTGGTTTCCTCGTGGTGGTTCCTTGCCTGGTTTTTCTCGTGGTGGCACGATGAGTAAGGTTTCCCTCTGGTTTCCTCTGGTTTTCCTCTGGTTTCCTCGTGGTGGTTCCTTATTTGGTTTTCCTCGTGGCACAGTCAAAGCGCACAGTGAGGAAGAATGGCAGCTTTCCAAGGCTACCCCTGCATCCTGGCCCCTTCGGCCCATCCTTGGCAGCTTTCGCTGGCCAGCCCCGTCCGACAAATGTCAGCATGGCCCTCCAAGGCTCTTGCATCCTTTCCGCGCATGCTTATTTTGCGCTTCGACTGTAAGGGGCCGCGGGCAACCCCCAGCAACACCCCCCGAGATCCGGCGCATCGAAACAGTGACACCATCGCGGAAAAGCACGAACCAGAGCCCCGGACCCCATCGTGCTGCGTCCTCCTTGGAGCGGGATGGATCTGCGAGGGATCTGGGTAGGGGAACAAAAAGTGACGTAAACATAACAACTCGGAGGCCCGCGCGGATTTCCCGGATCGGCGCTGGGGCCCCCCGGCGGCGCCTCCGGCGCCGCCCCTGGCGCGCTCCGCGCGCCAGGGAGGGGCTTCCAGCGCCGATGCGAGAAGTCCGCGCGGACCTCCGAGTTGTTCTGTTTGTGCCAATTCTTGTTCCCCTGAAGACGCCCGCTGCGAAACAATCGCCACGCCAGGATCTCCTCCTCCTCCTCCTCCGCCTCTTCTCATCCTCCTCCTGCTCCCGGCTCTCCTCCTCTCTCCTCCTCCTCCTCCTCCTCCTCCTCCTCTCTCCCCCCTCCTCCTCCCCCCTCCTCCTCCTCCTGCCCTCCTCCTTCCTGCTCCTCCTCCTCCTCCTCTCCCATCCCCCTTCTCCTCCTCCTCTCCTCCTCCTCCTCCTCCTCCTCCTCCTCCTCCTCCTCCTCCTCCTCCTCCTCCTCCTCCTCCTCCTCCTCCTCCCCGTCCTCCTCCCCGTCCTCCTCGTGGGGCCTCGGGGCCCGGCCAGGGCCGCATGCGCGTGGGCGCCACGGGCGGGAGGCCCGAGCCGCACGGCGCCGGCGCGGCGGCGCCGCCGAGCGCCTCGGACCAGGCGCCGCCACGAGGAAGAGGAGCGCCCGGAGGGAGGCCTGTTGCAAACTCGTCGTCGTCGTCGTCGGAGGAGGAGGAGGAGGAGGAAGAGGAGGAGGAGGAGGAGGAGGAGGAGGAAAAGCAGGAGGAGGAGGGGGGAGGAGGAGGAGGAGGAGGAGGAGGAGGAGGAGGAGGAGGAGGAGGGAGGAAAAGCAGGAGGAGGGGGAGGGGGGTGGAAAAAGCGGAGAGAGAGGAGGAGGCAAAAGCAGGAAGGAGAGGAGGAAGAAGATGAGGAAGAGGAGGAGGAGCAGGAGGAGGAGGAGGAGGAGGAGGAGGAGGAAGAAGATGAGGAAGAGGAGTGCCCAGAGGGAGGCCTGTTGCAAACTCGTCGAGGAGGAGGGGGGGGTGAGGGTCGAGGGTCGAGGATGGAAGAGCATCGAGGAGGATCGAGGAGGATCGAGGATCGAGGGTCGAGGGTCGAGGGAGGATCGAGGGTCGAAGTTCGAGACTTTCCCCAGGACCGGCTCCTCACCCCGAGCGGCCTCGTTGCTACGAGCCCCCCCGGGCTCGTGGAGGGCCAGGGGGGGAACCAGGAAGCGGGGAAGGGCGTCCTGGGGCCCAAATCGTTTTTTTCCCTTCTTGGCTGGAACTATCACATCTTCTTCTGCAAGCTACAAATACGATAGCGAAAGAGCCTGAACCTAGGACCCCAAGATTTTCAAAATCTCGCTCAAAGTCTCTCGGGGGTCCGCAGATCGGTGCGATCGCGAAGGGTACGGAGAGATTGAGCAGGGCCGAGGGTCAGAGAGCGCCTTCCTTCGACGAGGCGTAAGAGTGACCTTTCGCCGGAGTGACCTTTGGTGAGGGCCCAATGGGGTCCCCCGATCGCCGAACGCGATGCGACAGTCGCGTCTTGCGCGCTTGTGTTTGTTCCTCCCCCAGGCCTCAAGATGCCGCGCACCAAAGGTCACTCTTACCCAGGGTCGCTCTCGCGTGTAGTCGACTTCCTCTGCAGGGCCACCCAAAATGGGACGTAGAGGTTGTCAAACGCAGGTTAAGCTGACGAAGATGTGCAGAATCCAACCGTTCGCTTATGTCCAAAGTTTTGGCTTGACGCCGGGTGTGGTGCACCAGTTTCAGCTTGACTGGACAGGTTGATTGCGCCCCTTGACGTCCGTTTGGGTGTTCTGCAGACCTGACCACCCTGCCCTACTCCTCAAAGGAAAGAATTGGCACGAGAAGACCGACAGCAGTCCCTGTTCATTTTGAACAGGACTCGCTGTCGGCGTCGCCTAAAGGACAGCGGCCGCTGCCGGTCTTGGACAACATTTGTTGTTGGACCTCGTCACCATTTGTTCGTTTTACCCCTTGCCGGCATCCAAGACTAAAAGGGGGGGTTATGTATCCCAAGTGGGGCTGGGAGAGGAACCCAGCAGGATGCTCACATTTCCTTCTTTGGGGGGCCGTTTGGAGCGACGCTCCTCCAACCCAAGCCTCTGCCCCGACCCCACCTTGACGTCCCTCCGAGTCTCTCTCAGGTCTCAGGGGCCCTGAGATCCGACGTCCCCACAACATTCAGGAGGGGAAAGACACACAGACAATTAATCGTCGATCCCCAGGGAAATATAAGAAAATATGGGAAGTGGGGGGGAAGACGAAAACCCAGAAAGCATGGGGAATCCTTCTATGTGTGTGTACTTGTGTGTGTGTGTGCGTGTGTGTGTGTGTGTGTGTGTGTGTGTGTGTGTGTGTGTGTGTGTGTGTGTGTGTGTGTGTCAGGGCCCCTTCAAACGTCGCAATGTCGCAACGAAAAACACGACCAGAGCCCTGGGCCCCATCTTTCAGCGGCATGTCTCGAGCCGGATCGGTCTGTGACGGTCCCAGGGCCCGACATCGGGCGAAGACGCCGGCGTCAACGAAGGTCGACTGCACGTACGAGCGACCCTTCGCCGGAGTGACCTTTGGTGCGGGCCCACGGGGGTCCCCCGATCGCAGGCCGCGAGGCGGTGGTGGCGCCTTGCGCGCTTGTGCCTGGTTCCCCCGCGGTCCCCCAAAAATCCGCGCACCAAAGGTCCACTCTTGAAGCCTTGGGCCACTCTTGCCTAGGAGGGCAGCGAGGGCGGCGACGAGGAGGCGGGCGAGGACCCGGGGGCCGATCAGGGCTGCGACGAGAGCCGAGGGGCGAAGCGCCGAGGGCGAGGGCGAGGGACGACTACGACGACGACGACGACGCCAACGAGGACGACGACGACGACGACGACGACGACGACGACGACGACGACGACGACGACGACGACGACGACGACGACGACGACGACGACGAGGGCGAGGGCGACGAGGAGGAGGAGGAGGACGACGACGACGACGACGAGCGTCACTCCTGCGTGTGTGCCCTGCGTGCTGGCAGGCGGCGGGCGGCGCCTCCTCGGCTGGCGCCCAGGGCCCTCGCGGTGTGCGGGCGGGACGCCGCTCGCCGGTGGCGCTGGCCCTCCGTGGCGGGCGCCTGCGGCGGGCAAACGGCCACCGCCGCGCCCGGGCAGCGGCAGCGTGACGGGCTTCTTCCTCTCGACCTGCTCCTCCTCCGCCTCCGCCTCCTCCTCCTCCTCCTCGACCTTCTCCTCCTCGACCTCCTCCTCCTCCTCCTCCTCCTCCTCCTCCTTCTCCTCCGCCTCCGCCTCCGCCTCCGCCTCCTCCTCCTCCTCCTCCTCCTCCTCCTTCGCCTCCTTCGCCTCCTCCTCCTCCGCCTTTGCCTCCTCCTCCACCTCCTCCTCCTCCTTCTCCTCCCTCCCTCCTCCTCCTCCTCCTTCTCCTCCACCCTGTCCTCCTGTTCTGCTTCGTTCCTCCTCTCTCCCCTCCATCCTCTCTCCTCCCCCTCCTCCTCCTCCTCCTCCTCCTCCTTCCGACACCGACTGGAGCCCACGGCTGCACCGATTGCAGCCCAGCGCGCTCCTCTCGACCCGGTCCTCCTCCTCGGGCGGGGCCGCTCCCCCAGGCCCGGGGCCAAAGCCTCCCGGAGTTCGGGCAGCGACCCGATGGCTCTGCCCGGCTCCAGGTGCGCGGAGTCCACTCGCAGGTCCGCCGAAGCCGTCGCTCCTCCTCCTGCTCCTCCTGCTCCTCCTGCTCCTCCTCCTCCTCCTGCTCCTCCTCCTCCACCTCCTCCTCCTGCTCCTCCTCCTCCTCGACTTACCCATTCTCTGGCCTCCTTCTCTCTCCTTCTCCTCCTCCTCCTCCTCCTTCGCCTCCTCCTCCTTCGCCTCCTCCTCCTCCGCCTTTGCCTCCTCCTCCTCCTCCACCTCCTCCTCCTCCTCCTCTTCCTCCTCCTCCCTGTCCTCCTTCTGCTGCCCCTCGTTCTCGACCTGGCCGTCCTCCTCCTCCTCCTCCTCCTCCTCCTCCACCTCCTGCTCCTCCTCCACCTCCTCCTCCACTTCCTCCTCGTCCTCCTCCCGACACCGGCTGAAGCCCCAGGCTGCACCGACGGTACATGCAAAGAGAGAAGCAGAGAGAGGGAGAAGGAGAGAGAGGGATACATATATATATATATAGAGAGAGAGAAGAGAGAGAGAGAGAGAGAGAGAGAGAGAGAGAGAAAAAAGAAGGCGGCCTGGCCTCATCCGGGACGGTGATCAGGGGCTTAGTCCCCCCATCCGTGGCAATTGTAAGACGGATCGAAGGGAACATGAAACGGCGTCTCAACCTCGGCCAAAGATCATTGCACGAAAGGTGATTGACAGTAGGCATGAGGGACTCTGCTAAAGCTTTTGACGTGCGAGGTTGGTGCTGGTGCGCAGCGGCAGTCTTCAACTCATCACAAGCATGAACACGCACAAGCTGTAGAGAGTGAGATTAGGAGTTGTAGTTATCCCTGCCAGGTAAAGTGCAGATTTAATCCAGGAGCCCCAAGGCGTTGATTCCCAGAAAAGTAGTGGGCTTCCGAGATGAGGCCCCGCAGCAGTACTGTTCCAGGCTTACAGGGAGATCAGACACACGGCTCCTGAAGCCCAAAGGGGCTTTCATTCCTGGAAGCCTCCAGGTGGACGGAAGATGTAGCCTCTCTAGATCTGTTGGGCGCTCGACAGTCAGCAGCAACTGCACAGCAAAAACACGCAGCCTGTAGAATGGTTTGTAGCAGCCTGTTGCCGAGCATTATTTGCTTTCATTCTTTAGGGGACCTACACGGGGGCCCTCACAGGAATTCAGCGGACTGGAACACGCGGGGACGGTTTCCATTTCTGGGGGGGGGGCGGCTTTTGCACCACGTCTCACACGGAGGCCCACCAATCATTCACAGAGCCTGCTTAGTCCATAACAGGCCGAGGGATTTACTGACATAGCTCTGAATGTTTAAATCATCCGCAGCAGGATCATCAGCAATGCCAGCTGACCACATAACGACGGGCCACTTGGTGCACCTCTGGAGGACTTCCGAAGTGCAGCCAAACGTCGCCTTCTTGGCAGGCGCCACTCCTCCCAGAGTCGGACCGACGGTCCTTTCGGGCGGTTCATCTGCAGCGAGCTGCACGCCACTCTCACTCCGCACAACTTTCGTCTCTTTGGAGTCAGCCCTCCTGAGCTCGATCATCTCCAGCGCTTCCAAAAATGCACCAGGAGGGGCAGACATCGCGTACACGCGAGCCTGAGATATTTCAGAAGCTTACCACGAGCGTGCCAGTTGAATCCGAAGCTTGGCAGTACGAGCCAAGGGCGACAGACCCTGCATCATCGAATTCGGAGTGCGTCAGTGTGCGGTGTCTAGACCAAGCCACTTTGTTGTTGAACACCTGCTCGAATCCGCGCCTCGGAAAAACAAACTGGGCTTGCGGCGGTCTGACGGCGGCTGGCACATGCCCATGCCCCCGAATAAAAGCCTGATGCAAGGCCGACAGCCAAACTTCGACCGCAACGAGCCCGAACTGCTCAGCTAACGCACTTCGTTCTGCTTCCCTGCGACAAGAGCTTCATTGTTCAGGGTTGGTCCGGGCTACGTGAACCCACCAGGCCAAACCTCTGATGGGCTTCCAAGGGCCAGGAAGCGTAACACTATCGTACATCCACACGATATCTTTGTGTATCATAGCCGCCCGAGTGCCTGGGCCACTCATACTTTTCAGCATGTAGAGCAATCCCTGGGAAGCGGACGTGAGGATTCGCTGCAACAGAGCTTGGGCACGACGAGAAAAGATAAGCGGCGGCACCTGATGCAAAGTTCAGCGCTAGACCACCCTAGACACTCTTTCACTGCGTTTTTCGTTGTGCCCAGCGGCGGCACGCGAATACGCAAGATGAGCGGTCTCAAGGATGGTCTGATTACTGGCAGTGGGAGGAGCCCACGCAGCTCCATGAATCATCACTCTGCTTTGGCAGAAGCCATCAGCCAGCTCGGGGGGAGGAGGAGGCCCTCTCGGACATGCGTCTGGGCGCTGCCGCGCACGTGCCAAGACACCTCAAGACTGCCCCTGTCCCCGCTTGCTCCCCTCGCCCGCCGTTGCCTGTGCCCTCAGCTTGATCCTCGCGCTTCTCCTGCCCCCCCCCCCCCTCTCGGATTCGCCTCCACAGTCTCACTCTCTGCCTCCTCTCCCTTCCCTTCGGTCCCTCAAGAATCCCGCATAGCTCTCCGAGAGCTAAGAGGGCTTCAGATTTAGAAGCCGGCGCCGCTGGGTAGCTCTGGAGCACGTTCTGGCTTCCGGCAGGAAGCCCCGCAGCGCATCCTGTGAGCCTCGAGCGTGTTCTGGCAGGCCTTGCCTAATGTTTTTCCAGTACGTGTGCCGTCGCGCTTTCCAGAAGCTCCTTTCCGGACCTTCCAGAGTTCCTTGGAAGGACCTTCCAGAAGCTTCTGTCGCCTCGCTATCCAGGTTTTGGGACACCTTAAGTCGGCCCGCATATTTCGCAATAGGGAATGTGATCTGCCCAGAATTTCGAGGCGGATCTGGCCGCGGTGCCGAAGGGGCCCCAGAAAAAAAAACGGAACGATGATTGCCAGCAGCTTGCTACCCTCGAAGCTCGGTCCTCGAGCCCCAAACCTCGCCTCTCTCTGCTCTCCTCCTCCCTCGGACATCCGATGCCTTGATGTTTTCAGCACGGCGTCCCCAGAAGTCCCGACCCTGTAGCCAGGGTCGGTGTTTCATCCTGAGCAGCTTTCATGGCGCCAACATCGCACAGCGGATTTCGTTCGGAAAACGATAGGATGGGCTCAGAGTGTCCTGGAGAATTTCGTGCTGGATTTCGACGCGAATTTCGTGCGGATTCTTGTGGGGCCGGAATGAAGACTTGAACCAATCCACGTGAAATTCAGTTCGTTTTTCGCTCGCGTCTTCGGGGCTTTGCGTTGACAGAAATCCACGCGAACATCCGCTGCAGCACGTCTGCCGGGTCGGCGCAGGGACAGCTCTGGTCCACCGCACATCGTGGCCTTGCGCGGGGACCCGCGGGGGCCGAAGGTGGGGCCAAAAAAGCCCACCCCCGGGGCCTCGCTTTTGCCACGACGCTGGGCTTCGGGAGTTCGGACCCTCCGCTCGGGCCCTCTGGTGGCCGCTCGGGACGATCCTCGGCCACCCCCAGAGTGCCGCGGAGCGCTCTCTCCGGGAGGCGCCGCTGCGGGGAAGGCAGCCTCCTGGAGCGGGAGGGCCCCGAGAGCCGAGGAGGTCCCCCCCCTCGCTCGCCCGTCGGCCCCAGGAGCCGAGCCTCCCGACTCCTCCCCCCCTCCTCCTCCTCCTCCTCCTCCTCCTCCTCCTCCTCCTCCTCCTCCTCCTCCTCCTCCTCCTCCTCCTCCTCCTTCACCTCGACCCCCCAGATCCCTTTAGCCTCCGACTCGATCCCGCAGCCTCAGGGCTGGACCTGAACGGTGTTTTGGCCATGTCGTGGGCCGTTTTCGTTTCGACCCCGTTGTGCGGTGGAGGCGGACTGAAGACAAAACGAGGGAAAACGAAAACAAAACGAAACCGAAAAACACCGTTTAGGTTCAGCCCTGCACAACCTCCAACCCCTTCCTTTTCAGCTCCTCCCCAGCCGCCGTCCCCGCTCGATCCCCCCTGAGATCCGACCTCGCGAAGCAATGTTTTACGCTTCGCGTGTCCCCACCAGTGGTTGCGCCATGGCAAGCTTTGAATTC